AGCATCCAAGCATGGACGAAATCAGATCTCGGGCACGGCGATGAGAATCGATTCGCGTACCTCGAAAATCAAACGGGAGCGTCGCCCGCGATTTCGCGTCGCGCTTAGTCAGATCCGCGGCCGCGCGATCGATCCTCACGATTGATCGTGACAGTGAGCTTGATCCAAACAGCGGTGCTCGGATACGTCCAGACGTGATAATTAGCAGCAGGGCGACGAATAATGGCGCACAAAGGTAATCATGGCCGCTTTGTGCGAGCAAAGTCGGCAGTTTCTAAGCAAACGGCGCATTATTTCTTATCAGTAGCGATTTGCGCAAGGCACAAATACGGCGGCGATAACCAGATAACTCGCGACGGAGAGTCGCAAGAAGTTGCGTGAATGTGATTTCGCCACTGAGGCACCGGACGATTTGAGACGGTGCAATTTTGGCGAGTAGCTTTTGCATGAATCTTACATTTTATCGAGATATTCAAGGTTTTTCGATTTCGCACTTATGTTCGGCGTAGATTCTCCGCTTGTTATGCCATCATTACGTGCTTTCCGATACCTTACGTTTATCATTACAGTTACAGAAATCATGAAAAATATAAAGCATGAAAGTAATAAATGTATCGAACTTACAGCAGATCGCGTTAAAGGCAATCACTTTCGGATGACTGCGAAAATGTGAGATGCGGTCGCCGATAAATGACGCGACGACGTTCTATTATGGATAAGGCTGTATTTGCGATCGCGTCACGGATCTGTCCATCTCGCGCGCGTCGATACGAACGTGTGCCGGGTATCTATCGCTTTCCTCCGATCGGTTTCTGTATTTCGCTCGGAGATCGGCTGCCACGTACGCCGCGGCGACGGCGGTAGCGTCCGATGCCTCCTCGGTCGGCGAAGGAAATTGCCGCGACCCAATACTAATGGATAATGGAATTATTGGTTACGGTCGGAGCTCGCCCTGGGGATGATCGTAATTCAATTGCTCCGATGTGTCCTCTGGACGTTTTGACAGGACGGATGTCCTAACAAGGACACCGCCTCGGGATATCCTCGCTTGTTTCTCTCTATAGGCGGTGTGCGCTCGCGTACAACCACGGTTGTGTGTCGCGGAAAAACATCCGAGCAAAGTGAATGTCATTGGCAGTCGAACGTAGGCAAAGAATCGTTATTAATGCAAATATAAAAAAATAAGAAATAATTGAATATTAGAATATTCTAAATGGGTTTTTAACCAAAAAAATATTTTCTACCGAAGACTGTAAACTTTTAGGACTAATCGTGTTAGGTTTTAACTGAATAAAAAGTAAAATTATTTACTTTTCTATCCATTAAAAACTTATTAAATTGCAACTATTAAGTTGAATTATAAAATTCAGTTTTAAGGTATCGTAGATATCGTCTACGTTGTTAAAAAAAAGTAATCGATTGACGGCATTATACGCAATCTCTCGCCGAGAATCGATTCTGCGATTGTTCTGGTATATCTTGCTAAAAACATAAGAAAAAATTAATATGGAAAACTAATATGCTTCGAAACATTTCTTGCAGAGATTCCCATACGCGTCCTTCCCGCTCATAAATAGAAATTATAAGAATGCTGGCAATAGGGGGCCAGCAGACTTGGTGATCGCAACATTACGAGTGAATGGGCCAATTTGTAAGCAATCCAACTTACGTTTGCTGGGCAATATTATACTTTTATGTTATCTTTCTTCGGTTATCCACGGTTTTCCCTTCTTCTTCCTCGCATATGATTCTCCGAATGCAACTGCGTCTCTCTATCTTTATACGTAAGGTAATTGCCGTCATAAACAGAAATACGTATCGAATCGTACTCAGTTTGATATTTTAGTATTTGCAAAATGATAACAACGATTAAATTCGTGTATGTTATTTCTTATTTTTACATGAAAGCAAAATTTTAATAAGAAAGAGGGTCACAACTTTGTATAAATTCCTTAATAATTTTTTATCAATTGTATTTTTTTATAATACTTATCGCGGAGAATATTGGATATCATTATCTCATCAACAATTTTGGGGAAAGAAAGTTGCAGAACGTTTACGGATTCCAATAGAAATGCAGCGCGCAAAAAATTAAACGCGGCCTGAAGATGCACGCGGATAAATAGGCGGGTGATTTATGAAGTGACGAAGAGACACGTGTCTCCTCCATCCTCCTCCTTCGCTCACCTTAAGCTCAGGAGGCTGCCAGGAGCCCTGATCCTCGCGCAGGGATTGCAGAGGGGTCTGTGCCGCCGACAGTTTTGGTCCAACATCTGCCCCCGAAAAAACAAAAGCCCATTGTCGCTAACGACCGGTCGCGCGTCTCTTGTTTCTAACCGAGCGCTTTTGAATCGTAGGCGAATAACGGATCCGAGAGAGGCCCCGTCCATTCAGGCTGCTCTCCGCTCCTTCCTTTCGCTCTCGCTCGACCTCTCCAGTCGTTGCCGTATCCAGCGCGGCCGTTATTTTTTTTTTTTTTTTCATCAGTCGCAGAACCACAAAACCATACGTCGCCTCTACTCGCCTCCGGTACTTTCATCGAAAACTTTATCGGATTTTCGTTGTCGTTATTTCGCTCCCTTCTTTTGCCTCGCGCGTTCGATCGTCGGCGACGATCTCGGACGAGCGCGATTAAAATCTCGCGTTCCTACGAAGAATGCGGGACGTCTCTCGGGCGCAATTGTCTCGTCCGAACACGAGTCTCGGCACAACGACGTTTTGCGGTCTTATCTCGCTTCCTGCTATCGTCATTCTTCCGGTGAAAAACGAGAAGCGATAGTCACGAAAAAAAAGCTGCACAACTCGATCGGACCAAGTATAGTGAAGGGCTGAAAAAATAGGTTCCTATTTCTCGATACGTCCGAAGGCCCATGAAAATATTTTCTGATGAATCCAGAAATATACTGAAAAACTCTTGACCCATCGTTAAGGAAGATAAACTTGTTATTTCAACAAGTTATTGCGCCATCTCAACCATAATAACTTCATAATATTTTATATATTATTGAAATTATCTATCTTCGAAATTGAAAGGATCTGCAGATTGAAATTGAAGGATAATCTTTGTATTCAATAAACTACCATACATTCGACATATGCTAAGTGCAAAATATAATAGGTATAAAAGATTTTTTAATGCATTCATATGCAATGTTAAAGAATTTCACAATGAAATAATTTTGTCTGAAAAAAAGTACGACGAATCACCAAACCATTTTATCGCGATTAATCATAAAAGAAACGTAGTTATCCAAAGAAGACAGCTTCAATCGACGCAAGAAAATCGATTACAAATTTAAGTTCAACCCACCGATCTGGGTGTAACTCTGACCATAAAGGGTTGAAGGGTGCTCGAGTTTGCGCCCTGGCCAATGGTCAAGTGAGCTCCGCCCAGAAAGAATCGAACGCTGTCGGCGCACCGACGGAGAGACGAAAAACGAGCGAAGAAGGAGAGACGGCAGCAGCCGAGGGGTAAACAAACAGGGGTTGGTGTAAAGATTACAAAAAGAAAAACCGACGGACGAAGGAGAAGAGCGGAGATCTCTTGAGAAGCGTCACGACGCGTTACGGAATGCGAAACGGAGACACAAAACAAGAACGGGGGGGGGACAAAGGGAGAAACTCGAAGGGCGAGACGAGAACGAGATGGGAGGGAGGGGTGGCGAGTGGAAAACGACTGCCAAGGCGGCGGAGGGTTTTTCTTGTTTCGTCGCGAGCCTGGCAGCCCCCATTCGGATAGATATGGATACTCAACTCCGTCGAGAGAAAGATCGATGTATGAAACTCCTGCCAATCTCTATGTTAATGCGCGCGGCGTACGGGAGAAAGGACGGTGTAAGATGTCGCGAGAAGTCCCGGAGCAGTTTCTCCTGAAGGACACTCAAAAGTGAATTGTTACGTCTGCGGTTGACCTCGGGCCCTCTGCCCCTCGGACGACGGTGAATTATAACGGTTGCGTAAGAGGAAATTAGTTCTGTTTGTTACGAGGAAAGTCCGCCGGCCGAACGCGGCCGAAGCGCGGACCTTTCCTCGTAACGATCAGACGAGCACGAGTCCGCGACTAGTTTATCGCCCGGAAGGAAATTGTACAAACGGAATTGTGGAAATAAGAAAATGGCCTTAACTCGAAACCGAAATTGTGACAGTAGAGATAAAAAGATCTTTCCGCTTAATATCTATATATAATGTTTATATATGTTTTACTGTCTTTATATTTTATATTAAAAGAACAACAGACACGATTATGTCGTAAGAAAACTTTTTCATAATCTCGTACTTACTTAATTTCGCCTAAAATATAAGTCTAGTTCTGATTTTAATTGATCGCTATCAATAGTTTTATGACAGCCGGCAAATCGTTCGCATAGAGCCGTTCGTTTTGATATCTCATCGCGGAATTATAGCTGCAGTCGCTTAATAGGTATCGTAAATCGCAATGATTAATGCCCCGCTGCGAATAATGCGCGAGACACATGTCTACACTTGATTATATAATGGTATCTGTAACACGTAAATATCGATAGTAATAAGCCAATATTGCTTTCACTACTCGTGGCCGGAGCCGGGAAATGGTAATTGAAAGGTTTCCTTTGCGGTACAATTGCAGTAATACGTTGTTCATTATATTATAATACAATTGAATACCATACACCATTAGATAGCATATCGTTCAAATAATGTGACTTTGCAATTGCTGACATATAAATGCAATGCTTTCTCTAAAAAAATATTTACACAAACAAAACATAACGTCCATACATATCTTTACTGGCAAAAAGAGAACAAATATCTTTGGAAAATGAAACTTTTTCAAAAGATCTTTGTGCATTCAATCTTATAATTCAGAAATCACGTTGAAATTATTAAGAAATAATCAAATTTCAATTAGTTAAAAAGGAATATAAGAAAGTCAATTTTTGAGCCATGTGTTCTTCAAAACTGACATCTGTTCGATCAAAATTCCAACGCGTCTAAACGAAACGCGCTTCTTTCTGTTACAGCGGAAACCTCGCAAAGTACTACGTCCCCAGACACCGTCCAATGCGGGGGCTGCAGGGCGTCCTACCCCCTCGGCGAGATCGTCCGGTTCATCGAGCACAAGGTCAACCACTGTCGGAGCTCACTCCAGGGCTGCCACAGTCCACCGGCGACGGCCGCGCCGGAGGACTCCGACCCGGAGGACGCCCTCACCCTAAAGACCGCCGATCCGGATTCAAAGCTCAACTCGGTGCCCAGCATCTCCGCGCCGATCAACAAGAGGAGCGGTCGACTGGAGAGCCCGCCGACGCCGCAGGGTCCGGGACCGGATGCCGGAAGTCCGATCGACCTCAAGGCGAGCGCCAGTTCGACGCCGAAAAGACGAACGGAAGCACCGGATGAGGACAAGGAGGATCTTCCGAAAAAGCCGAAGACCGAATCTGTAGACGCCGACACGAACACAGTCAATTCCGGTAAGTTTTCTCGCTTTTTTTTTTTACCCCGTTTACTCGCCGTTGATAATGTTCAGAAGTTTCACAGCAACAATCGCGATAATCTTTTTCTCACTTTAACTTTATAACAGAATTTTTTAATCGCTTTTAAACGACGGATTATTTTATACATAAACGGAATATGTGTAATGAAAAATATAATGCATATTTCATTGGTATTATTAGAAAACATTTGATGTATCTTCTTTGTGCATGCGAGAATTTCTCGAAGCACGCACGCGAGAGGATGCATTTATGTTTTTTTACATTTCTATTTCGAGCTCGACGTATAGATGCTGCGAGTCAAAATAATTTCTATAAATAAACTACTTTTTTAACAAACAGATATCCATTGCTTATATAACATGCGAGCACTAACACAACTTTGGTGTATTATTATATTCCAATACGTTTAGATTATTATTACACGCATCGTGCAATGAATAAACGCGCAGGAGCATTTTATTGAAATCGAGTGGTCGACATAATCTCGTGCAGAAAAATGAAGCACAATCCGGTCAAAATAACGCCCACGAAATGAATCAAAACTCTCTTTTTGAATTTTGTATCGTGGTTTCCAAGTTTGGCAGCGATTATGAGAACAACGAGAAAGTGTGTCAGGGTTTTTTATCGTCATAGGTGTGCATTGAGGAATCCATCGTGTCGGATTCGTGCTGGTTTCGCGATTGTCGATCGCCCGACGGGGGTGAAAGGGGGGGTGTTTTAAAGTACAGTTATAGGGGGCTGCCATGTGATGTCGAACCTGGTCGAGCGGGCATGAACAATGGGTCGGTGGATTCGATTTTTGAATTTAAACCGCCCGCTCGGGGATTGGGGTGAACCTGCCCCCCTTGTCAATCCCCTTTCCCCGTTCCTCTGACCCCCTTTTGTCGGGAATTACATTGTACGTCGAAGGGTTTAACGTGCGAGTGTCCTCATTCTGCGACGCGACGCGTTGGATATGAAAGTGCTACGTTATCTTCTTCGCGTTTGATTTCTTTGTGTAACTTCGAAATGGAGTTGAATAATCGAACTGATCGTTTTTTAACTTTTTTTTTGCGGTTTGCACTTTGCAAGCTCGGATTATACACGTTTGCACGGTGCAACGTTGCGAGCAAAAAAGTGAGAAAGAGAATTTCAGTGTCATTATTCGAAATAGGTCTAAATTAATTCTTTCTTTATTGGTTTTTTAAATATAAATATATTAAATAAAAATCGAATGGACAAATGATTAAAGAAATCGAAATAAAACGTATTCTTACATTGACAAATAAAATAATACGCTATTTATATAATAATTAATTTTGCAATAATAATTATGAGTATTAAAAAAATTAATTCTGATATCACTCACATTATGATAATTATGATAATTATGTAAGAAATAAGAATAACATTTATTATTATAATTTTAAATAAGCAAAAATAACTTTAATTTTGCGACTGATAAAACCGGGATTAAAGTTTACTCCGATTAACTTCAAAGAGACCGTCAAAAAGGTTCAAGCAAAATTTGCGCTGCCGACACTCTCGATGAATCGAATACTGCTTTGAGATTCTTATGCAGTGCTTAACCGTGCAAATTGACGCAAGGACCTGCTTTGCAACGCAGAACGGATTTCGCCTTCGTGCCTGATGACAGCCACCGTCGGCTTTTCTATTTTCCTTCGCAATTAAATTATTTTGTCATCACATGCATTATTTATCAAAGGCGAGCCTATATTAAAATAATATAAAAATTTCATAGTTGAAAAATTTAATTCAATTCTACTAAGCATTAAATAAATTTTTACATTTGTCGTATATAAATTTATCATTCGATTTACGCGAATAGAAAATCTTACAGATATTTTTTAATCTCTATTAAGCTTATACAATTTACGCTGCAAAATACAAATCCACTCGAATAACTTTCCGTCGAAGAATAGACGTATGTAGTTAAATTTGTACCATTTTGAGAAGCGAGGGCGGCTAACGCTGACAAGAATAATTGTGTCTCTTGAGGAGCGGCACATCGGCGATCGTTCGCGCACACCGGTATCTCTTTAAAGTTTCATCACGCTCCGCGGCACTCGCCCCAAACCCCCTTTCGCTAGCTACACGTTCCAGAAGCGAGAAAGAGAGAGAAAGAGAGGAAGAGAGGAAGAGTTAACCCTTCCCGAGCTGGTCCGCGATTACTATAAGAATACTCTTCGCTCGTGCTCATCCCGCCGTTCGTCCGGCCGGGGATATCCCCCGCTTAAGTCCCTTTTGTCGCCTTTTTTGTTGGATTTTTTTGCTACCGGACAACCACGTCGAAAAGCCCAATTAGAATCGTCCTATTGTTCGGCCACGTGGTCCGCACGAGCCGTCCACACGAGAGAGCGTGCCCATATGGGCGGACGCGCCGGTCGATTCCCGAGCGTTGCATGCGAACAGGTAAGGTAATGCGTATCAGAAACACGTGGGGTGGCACCGGCAGGATGCGCCGGGACCCTCGATACTTCGGTCAGGAACGCAAGTCCCTTCCGTGATTCCTCATATCTTTTTTCTTTCGACTGCGCCGAAAAATTCACGCGATCGTAATACGATGTCGTACTTTTCAAAATTGAGACGAAAGCATTTTCCAAAAACGCGCAAAGTACTTTTTCTCGCCTAAATTAAATTCGCGACAGATGCAAGTTCGAAAAAATTCGGTCCTTGTAAGAAAAATCGGGTTACGCGCATAAATAGAAGACAAGCGGAGCGCATCTCGAGCGAGAGAAAACGGCGTTGGAGAACCGTAGAGGGGGGGGACAGTACGCATTCGCGGAAAAGGGCCGAAGGGAAGAAGAGAAGGCGGGAGAAGGAGAGTGGAAAGGAGCGATAATCCGTCGAAATTGACACCAACCAGCGCTCCCGGTGAGATGCAGATTTGATCTATCTGTCACGTTTGTCTGGGAATATTAATTCTCGTCCGCGGGTG